GTGCTGGAGCAGTTCCTCACCATCCTGCCCGAGGAGCTCCAGGCCTGGGTGCGGGAGCAGCACCCGGAGAGTGGGGAGGAGGCCGTGGCTGTGCTGGAGGATCTGGAGAAGGAATTGGATGAACCAGACCAGCAGGTAGAAAAGGACCTGTGCTCAGTGCAGGGATGGTTGGGAGTAGGCATCCAGGCTGATCCTTTATGGGCTCATGTAGACTGTGGGCCCTTCAGATGCCCAAATGAGCCTGCTTGTTCTCAGGTTTCAACCCAGACCTGTGCACAGGAAGTGCTTTCTGAGACTTCGGAACCTCTGGATCCAGCTAAGGAAGCAACATATCTCCAGCCTCAACCCATGGAGATCCAGCTTAAGGGTGAATCTCAGGACCCTCAGCACCAACAGGATTGTGGTTAGTGTTGACACTTGGGTCAAATGGCTCCCCTGGAGGCCTTAGAATCATTCATCATTGAACACATATATATTGAATACTTACTCTGTGCCAGGCGCCATGCAAGGCACTGGGTATAGTGAACAAAGCAGACGTGATCCTTGCTTTCACAGAGCTTACAAAATAAATGTACCATAACAGATTGTAGATGGGGGAAGAAGAAGGTAGTCAGAGAAGGCCCTTTTGAGGAAGTAACGTGGGAGCTAAATCCCAAAAGTAGAGTAGAAAGTAGCCAGGTGAGTTGTAGAGGGGAAAGCAATGTAGGCCTAAGAGCATGTACAAAAACAGGTGGGAAAAAGGTGGGTTTGAAAGAAGGCCAGTGTGACTGGAGCACATGAAGAGAGGCAGAAGAGCAGAGAGAAGGTGGTCAGGGGCCAGAACACAAGGCTTTGTGGGAGCAGGTAAAGAGTCAGTACGTCTTTAACTTTCAGGGTATATGAGACCTACCTCTGGGTTCTATGAGAATCAGAGGAATTTAAATTCCATTATTTTCATGGGCTTTTTAAATTTTTCCTATAACTAGGATAAATAATAAAATAAAATAAAATTCTCCTGTAACTCAGGAACTAGACTCTATTAATCCTAGGCACCCTAGATTATAGTTGTCATTCATAGAAACCAGTTTCTCTTTAAAATGTGAAATCAGTTTTTTTCTTTCATAGCAAGTTTATTAAGTTCCTGATGTACTTTATCAGTTATTAAAAGCACCATTCTCTGGGCCAGTACCTTTCCTCTGGGTTCACTTTTATTGAAGTTCATTCTGTAAAAATTATCTTAGGTTCTTTGGGTGTAGACTTAGTCTTTGCATGTCTGAAAATACCCTTATTTTGCCCTCCCCCTTTTAACATATATATGTTATATATAAATATATATATATATTTTTTTAAGTAGGCTCCACGCCCAAGATAGGGCTTGAACTCACAACCCTGAGATCAAGAGTTGGACGCTGCACCAACTGAGCCAGCCAGGCACCCCTTTCCTCCCTTTTTACTCACACTTTAGAGTAAAATTCGGATCGACCATTTTCTTCTTCAGCATTTGGAAGGTCTTGCTGGTACTACTTCTAGTAGCTAGTCTTCCAGCTTCTGCTGTGTGCTATATTATCAGTGTCTAAATGCCTTTTTTATTTTTTTAGGGATACCACCTTTTCTCATTAATAGCATTTCTATTTACTCTTAGCCTTTATGATGTGAAGTTTCACTAAAACGTGTGTGCTGATAGGGTTTTATTTTTACTCATCTTGCTTGGTCCATAAATGTCCTGTTGCTAAGAACCCATGTTTTTCTTCACTTCTGGAAAATTCTCAGCTATCGGTTCTTTACATAATGGGTCTTTTTATTCTTTATGTGTTTTCTTCAGGGACTCCCAGAAGACGCTGGTTAGAACCTATTTATCAATCCACTCACTTCGCTGAACTACTTTTCAGACCCTTTATGCCTTTGTCTCTGTGGTACATCCCAGCGGAGTCCTTTATGTTCCAGTTTATTCTGTCTCCAGTTTGTCCATTTCTGAAATTCCTATTCAGTTTTTGTATCTTTTCTTGTTTCATTTTTACTGATTTTATTTCATAATTCTGTGTTTATGTGCCATGGACACTGTCTCATCACTTACCTCTTTCAGGTACCTTTCATCTTTTCAGGCTTTTTGATGAGAATAATTTCATCTGGATTGAATTCATGTTCCAGGTGGTGATTTTGTTAACCATCTTTCTTAGCATTCTGTTCACGTGTTTTGAAATTTTCATCTGTGGGCTCCTTCTGAGTTCTTTCTGATCTGCTGTACATTCTCCCCTTCCTTGCCGAGCTGTTCTGTGGTCCCCTCTGCCCGACCCCACGCCCACACCAGGGCTCCCGTGATCACACACACACCGTCAGTGTCATCACAGGCCTCCAGGCAGCCTGGCGGGCTTCTTGGCCGCAGAGCCGTCCACATGGCCGTGTGTGCGCGCCTGGGAGTCCCGCCCAGACTCCCCATTTTCCTGTGGGCCACTGTCTCCATGACTCTCTGGAGCCCAGCGGGTCCATGGCTGCAACTGTAGCTACCATTCTGTGCTTTGGTTTCCTTTCTGGTCCACAGAGAAGTTTGTCTTGTTTAGCACAGATGTGTTAGAGATTAATTTTTACTTTTATCACTCCACATATTTGGAGCTAGATTATGAAGTTGCTGTGCCATCCTGACTAGAAGTACACCATCTTCTCCAACCTTTTTTTTTTTTTTAATATTTTTATTTCTTTAAGTAATCTCTACTCTCAATGTGGGGCTTGAACTCACGACCCCGTGATCAAGAGTCACATACTCGGGGCACCTGGGTGGCTCAGTCGTTAAGCGTCTGCCTTCGGCTCAGGTCATGATCCCAGGGTCCTGGGGTCGAGCCCCGCATCGGGCTCCCTGCTCCGCGGGAAGCCTGCTTCTCCCTCTCCCACTCCCCCTGCTTGTATTCCCGCCCCCCTGTCAAATAAATAAATAAAATCTTAAAAAAAAAAAAAAGAGTCACATACTCTACTGGCTGAGCCAGCCGGGAACCCCTTCCCCAACCTTTTTTAGTCAGTTAGAAATTATGTTTCTACACTATGATGTTTTTTAATAATAATCCATTAGTTTTTTCTCATGCTGATACGAATTTTCTGTTCTATGTGTGGTGATGTTTTGGATGCCATCCTATAGTACATTTTATATTTGCTAATGGCTCTAAAAGATTATGTTCTTTTTTTCTTTTTTAAAGATCATATTTAGGGAGAGCACGTGTGAGCACAGGAGCAGGGGGAGGGGCAGAAGGAGAGGGGGAGAGAGAATCCCAAGTGGACTCTGCACTGAGCAGGGCCCCACACAGGGCTCAGTCTCACGACCCCGAGATCATGACCTGAGCCAAAATCGAGAGTCGGACGCTCAACGGACTGAGCCACCCAGGTGCCCCTAAAAGACTTATGTTCTTACATAAATGTGTACTTTATGTGATTTTCCTTTGAATTCTGCACACAAATGTATCTAAGGTAGCTATAACATAAAGTTTTAAAGTGCCCCAAACTTTTAAGATAACCTTACATAACCAGTAACAGGAGAACTTTCTCACCAGTGTGGCAGGGTGATCTGGTGAGGAACTATCGCAGGCCCCAGTCCTAAAAGGAGGCCTGCAGAAAGGGAAAGGCCCCTCCCACTCTGGGCACATTGGTTCTCAGCTCCTCCTTCATACAGTGGGAACCCTGACACCCAGGGGGGCTGTCACTTTCCTGAGGTGGGGTGCCAGTGAACTTTGTCCCTCCTCCACAGAGAGCTCACACCTGCAGTTTGGCCATGGCTCCTTCCCCCCGTTCTCCCAGAGTATCCTTAGCTGACCCGTTTTGGCACAGTTGGCCCGTGCCTCTGCCTAGGGTTAGGTCTGATGTATACTGCCTCCTGGATCTTCAGCTGTCTCATACTTGTCTTTCCTCCCATTGCTGCCACCAACACCACCCCCCCATTTAAAAGCATATCGCTTTTCCCTGCATTATTACTACATGGTTACAAATTCTGCCCTTCACTCTGGGCCCTAAAATGGGATTACTTCAGGGAGAATAGGCCTGAGTGGGACAATCTCGCTTTTTTTCAGCAACTGTTGACCATTGAGGAAGTGGCCACATGGCCCACCCTGGAGGATGGGGGTGTTGGGACCCTGCTCAGAGGCACCTTTGTAGGAGAGTCAAGCAGGGGAATTATGGGAACATGCTTTCCTGGGGTCAGGACAGATGGGAGTCTGGGTCTGTTAAAGACCATCCTCTGTGTTCGTGACTGTTTGCCTGGGAAGTCTCAGTGGTCCACAGAGTGTAGCTTCAGGCTTGACAGACTCCCAGGTTCTCCTTTGCAAGAAGAGTAGTGATGTCTTTGGGGCCAAATCAGTTTCTGTCTGTCCCTACATGATAACAGCCTTTTGTGCCCCATGTGTCTAGACTCTGATCTCCTTGCTCTGCATATCTGGAAATAGGTACTTTTCTGTGCTCCAGCCCCGCATTTTTCAGTCTCCCAGAGGCCTTCGGAGCCACCTGCACAGAGCTCCTTCACGACTCCACATCAGCACTGGCCCCCATGGCTTCCTTTCTGCTCCTCCCACAGTCCTGTTCCTTCATCTCTCTCTACTCTGCTCTCCCCTCGGAACCTGCTTTCATCTCAGATCTTTTCTTCTGTTGTTGACTTATTCCTCCCTGACTTATCTCCACTCTGCTCAAATCATGCCCTGCTAGTCCAGACACTGCTAGTCCTCTCTTCCTTTGCAGTCTCCCACTTTCTTCCTCAAATGTTGTAAAACTATTTTGCTGGTATAGTTAAGCTGTGCGTTTCTAGTATATGGGTTTAATTTTATTTCCTGTATATGTCATTGGTACTTGAAATCTATCCTTTTTGTTTCAGATGATGTGATCGGAATTGAGAAAGGAGAACTGATTCAAAAGCAGGAGTTTACTGTAGATATGGAGTCTCCAAAAAAGTTATCTGGCCAAATGAATGGAAAGGTCCCTGAATGTGGAGAGACCCAAGAACATGAAGGATGGACAAAAAGATATCAGAGAAACACTTCAACTGAGAAAAGATATAAGTGTGATGAATGTGGGAGAAGATTCACTCAAAACTCAAGCCTCATTAGACATAAAAGAATCCACACTGGAGAAAGACCCTATTCATGTAATGTGTGCGGCAAAACTTTCATCCAGAGCTCTCAACTTATTGACCATCAGAGAATACATAACCGGTTAAAACCCTATCAGTGTGATGAGTGTGGAAAAGCCTTTTATTACAGTTCACACCTTGTTCAGCATCAGAGGACCCACACTGGAGAAAAACCTTTCCAATGCAATGAGTGTGGGAAAGCTTTCCACTACAGCTCAGGCCTTGTTCGACACCAGAGGACCCACACAGGAGAAAAGCCGTACCAGTGCAGCGACTGTGGGAAGGCTTTCTGTCTGAGCTCACATCTGATTCAGCATCAGAGAGTCCACACTGGGGAGAAGCCATACCAGTGCAGTGAGTGTGGGAAAAGCTTCAGCCAGAGCTCAGGCCTCTTCCATCACCAGAGAATCCACAGTGGGGAGAAACCTTATGAGTGTGACGAGTGTGGGAAGGCCTTCAGCCACAGCTCAGCGCTGGTGGGACACCAGCGCATCCACAGCGGAGAGAGGCCCTATGAGTGTGACGTATGCGGGAAAGCTTTCGGTTACAGCTCACATCTCCTGGGACACCGAAGAATCCACACTGGAGAGAAGCCCTATGAGTGTGACATATGTGGGAAAGCTTTCCGGCGGAGCTCACACCTCATTGTACATCAGCGAATCCACACTGGAGAGGAGCCCTGGTGATTGTCGGCGCTCATTCCTGCAGAACGCCAGAAAAGCACAGCTAGCAGAGGGCGCCACCGTGACAGTGGGGAATTCTGTGATCACCGCGGCAGTTGGCGCGGCCATTTGTCAGGCCATGCTCTGGAGCTGAGACAGGTGATCCCCGGGCAGCTTACCAAACGAGCGCATCCTTCCACATGCTCGGACTTCCATCTCTGAATCCAGGGCTCAGGAAACCTCAGTGACCCGTGAGACGGGTACTTGGGGGCTGTAGAGACAGCTGCCGCCCCCTCCCTCCTTCTCCCCCCTGTTTTCTTTGGAGTTAGAATAACGGTCTTGTCTGAAGTGTGCATTTAGAGTTAACATCTCATCTACATAAAAAAAAAAATCCTGCATTTTAGGTTACCTTGATAAAAGACATCAGCCTATCAGTTATCTACATGAAAACTTTGTGAATACAGAAACCACTCTGTAATCTGGGATGAACGATTTGTGCAGATAGGAAAGGAGGGTGGATCACACACATTCCAGTGACCCCTCACATCTTCCACCAGAGATGGCAAATGGGCCAGTGGGCTGTATTTGGCCTGCACGTGTATTTTTCCCAAATGCTATTTTCTTCAATAATATATAAAATTATTCCAGATTTTTAAAGCTGTTTTTTTAAGGTTTATTTATTTGGAGAGGGAAAGTTCCAAGCAGACTGCACTGAGCACGGAGCCCAACACAGGGCTCGATCTCATGACCCTGAGATCATGACCTGAGCCAAAATCAAGAATCAGACGCCCAACTGACTGCGCTACCCAGATGCCCCAATTTTTTAAAAATCTAGCGATTTCACATAAAATATGACTTTCTGGATTCTCTTAAAAAATGCGTGATGTGGCAACACTAGATGGCATATTCCCACAAGGCAAGAGTTGACTGGAACAGATTATCACCACTGTGTGTTTAGACGCAGTCCACTGCCACACAGCTCCCTGGGGTCTCCCTCCGCTCCCTACTCCTCCCTGGGTGAGCCCTGCCTGCCCTAAGGGCTTCTCGGGCTTGCGGGTTCCAGGGCAGCTTGCCACCAAGAGTTCCACCTTAGTTTTACACACCGTCCCCCAATAAGATTTTCTCTGAAGAAAGGGCTTTCTGCTAACAACAGCTTGAAGATTTAGATTAAAAAATAAGTTTAAAAGTGTGTACTTGCACACCTGAAGGTAGAGGAAAGCCACTTTAAAATTTTCCTTAGATAGAATGTATAGGTAATTATTGAAAGTCAGCTGTAGTAGCTTCAAGCCAAACCTGTGGAGACTAGTTGTTTGGGTGAGACGAGAACAGCACACGTGATGGGGCTCGACACTCATGTCAGACTGAAAAGGCCTGGGGCCGAAAGCGGAGGTGCAGCTCCGAAAGAGAAGCTTGGAGATCTGAAGCATTTAGTGACAGGAGCAGCTGCGGGAAGACTGCGGGATGAGGCCCAAATGGGAGACTGGGGAGAGGTGAGAAGGAAAAGCTATGAGTATGGGAAGGTCTAGGATAAACGGAGGGAAGAAGAAAGGCCAGAGACGCCAGGAAAACAAACTGCAAACAGGAAGCCGGAGCAAAGGTGGTGAAAACATGAAGTGAGACAACATGATTGATTTAAAGAAACGGGAGTGGAGGGGCGCCCGGTGGCGCAGACAGTTAAGTTCAAGGCATGATTGGGGTCCCGGGGTTGGGCTCCACGTCGAGCTCTGCTGAGCAGGAGTCTGCTCGCTCTCTCTCTCCCTCTATGCTCTGTCTCTTGCTCTCTCGCTTTCTCTCACGCTAATAAATGAAAGGCCCTCACCCAAATCTGAGTTCACTGCTGTTTCTTTGTATCTCTCAGGACCCTGGCCCTGCATGGGTCTCTGAGTGTTGGGACACAGGACACTTCTCCTTAGGTGTAGAAAAAGACCGTTCAACCCTGCTCAGCCTGGACTCTGCCTTCTTAACAAAACCAGCCAAGCAGGAGGATTCTCCCCCAGGAGCAAGAATACATTTCTGGTGGGGCCCCTGGGTGGCACAGTCGGTCAAGCATCTGACTCTTGATTTTGGCTCAGGTCATGATATCAGGGTCATGAAATTGAGCCAAGCCCCGAGTCAGTTAGGTGCTGGGTGTGCAGCCTGCTTAATATTCTCTCTCTCCCTCTGTACCACCCCACCACCCTGGCTGGTGCATGTGCCCGCACTCTCCCCCTGCTCTAAATAAATAAATAAATAAATAAATAAATAATAAATAAAATTAATAAATAATTAATAATTAATAAATAAATAATAAATAAATAAATAAATTTTTTTTTTTTTAAAGAATTCATGCTTGGTCTCTCTGGGAAACATGTAACTTACCCATTCCTCCTAAAGAGGAAAAAGTGTGTTGTGAGATAAAAATACCCATTATAAATTAATTAAATGATGTAGCAAAAGGAAAAGTCCTTTGCAAACTCTGACAATCATGGCTGCCATTTGTTGAACATCAGTTGTGTCCGGCACCTAGCATGTTGTATCTGATGTCAACGTTCCAACTCTTCTGTAAGGTACTATTTATTATCTCAAACAATGTGTAGATGTAATTTATTCTTATGAAAGGCTTATAATAAAATGAAAAGTTTTTAATACATTTAAATGTTAAACAGCCTATAAAAGTATTTTTAGAATATAATACCTAAAACAGACTTAAAATATTAAAAGTTGGAAGTAACAAAATGTCAACAGTGTATTTAGGTAATGAAAAGGGAATGAGTCTCACCTTTTCTTTCTATTTCTCTGTATATTCCAAATGGAAAAGTTAGAATTCATCATACACATGTAGTAAACACTTTTTTAAAAATTAAAATACTACAGAATTGAGTCTTTCTGGAGATGATTCTTTGATAGCCTTGTCAATTATTTCCTTAGGACTGGTTTATTTAGAGTTTTCTACCTTTTTTAAAAAATATTTTATTCTTAAGTAATCTCTACACCCAACATGGGGCTCGAACTCACAACCCCGAGATCAAGAACTGGACTCCACCAACTGAGCCAGCCAGGTGCCCCATAGATTTTGCTACTTCTTGAATGAATTTTGGAACTAAGGGTTCTTTCCCAGAAAATCACCAATTTCGTTGAGATTTTCTAAAATTTTGGTAGCATACTTACTTCTTCATCTGTTATTTGTCATTTACAATTCTTAAATGTTTTCTTTCCATTGGATTTACTGTAGGTTTGTGGGGTTTTTTTGTGTTTTTTGTTTTTTTAGTTTGGATACCATTAGTTTATTATAAAAGACAGACATGAAAATTATTTACATGATGAAAGATTTCACTTCACTGGAATGAGCAGCTTCACTTCATGCCATTTTAATAATGATTCCAGTCCACATACTTCCAATGTGACCATCTCTAAATAAGAAATAATCCTTGTCATCTAGAACTACTTTGGTGCCTCCATATTCTGGGAAAAGAACTTCATCTCCAACTTTCACAATAACTGGTTGAATCTCTCCACCCTTTCCTTTAGAGCCCCATCCAACAACTACTACTGTTGCTTGCAACACTTCTCCTTGAGATTTTTCTGGAAGCATAATACCTCCTTTGATTATAGTTTCAGCTGCACTCCTTTCAACTAAAACTCCATGGAAGAGAGGAAGAAACTTTTAAATGCTTGCCTTGTCATGACTCCAGCTGCCCCAGTTCTTACAGGTTTGTGGTTTTTAATAGGCTTGTTAACAAATGTTTCATTCTTGGATCTATTAATGTCACTTTTTCTTTGTTCTAATTCATTTACTTCTGCTTTTATCCTTATTTCTTTTCTAACCTTTCCCTTGGGGATTTCCTTCTCATCCTTTTTCTAATTTCTTGAATGCTTAGTTCAGTCATTTTCTCTTTTTAAATTTTATTTTTTAAGATTTTACTTATTTATTAAAGAGAGCACAAGCAGGAGGAGAGGCAGAGGGAGCTAGAAAGGGAGAAGCAGACCCCTGCTGAGCAGGGAGCCTGACGTGGGGCTTGATCCCAGGACCCTGGGATCAGGACCTGGGCCAAAGGTAGATGCTTAACCGACTGAGCCACCCAGGTGCCCCTCATTTTGTCTTTTTAAATAATGAAAGCAAGTGAGAATATACATCCATTGAATGCTGTTATTTTTAAACAGTCCACTAGTGTTTTTGTGGGGTGGTTTTTTGTTTTTAGTAGCTTTGGGAGATTTAAATAGAGAAGAAGAGGGCCCTGGGTGTCATACACTGGACTGCCTGCTTATGCCTCAATCATGAAGGCAGAGAGGCTTATCCAGGTAGAGGAAGGACGTAACCAAGCCAAGGACCAGGGTTTTACCAGGAAGCCTCATTCTGACTGATGTTCGACCACTCACATTTCCACAGCCAGGTGCTCCAAGGCTCTGGCAAGCTGATTGTGTGAAGTTGATGGCAGCCTGAAGCTGGGGGCATACCTGAAGAATATTCTGGATTCCTTAGGAAGTTCAGGACCTGGAGCAGGGTTTGTGTTTGGAACCTGGTGAGAAAATTTGATACAAGAATTACATAAGGAGAGAGAAACATGCTGGTAAGTGCACTGCACTGAAGGAGGCGAGGGAACAGTTGAGCGCTGTCTGCAGTTTTAATTTGCTCAGGCTATGAGGACGTTTTGCGCCACAGTCAAGGGAAGGGGTTGGCTTTCCGTCATGGACTTCTAATGGAAAGAAGAGCAGAGGTTATGCTGTTTTTAAATTCCACTCCCAGAGAGGATAGTTCTCTAAAGATGGCTTACTTGCAAGTTACTCATTTCTGCATTTCCTAAATGACCTTTCTAGGTTTATTTTTTAATTTTTTTAAAAGATTTATTTTTTTATTATGTTAATCACCATACATCACATCATTAGTTTTTGATGTAGTGTTCCATGATTCATTGTTTGTGCATAACACCCAGTGCTCCACGCAGAACGTGCCCTCTTT